ACCCACAGACAAAATCCATGAAAGGCTGATGAGATGAGAATACCGATAGTGGAATTCTGGTTGATCCAAATTTGTAGTGTCAGAGACGCACATAGATCTGAGGGCGCTTGTTAGATTGAATGAACAGGAGCAGTGACTGCGGTAATATGGCACAGAAGGCCTGAGAGCTATTCGATAATGGAAGCACTGGATTTTTAAGCCCGGAGCAGGCGATGGCAAAATTCCTCAAGGGAGTGGTGGTCATCAAGAAACGTCGCACGGTAAGGTTATCGCAAAAGGTGGGAAAGTTGACGCGAGTCTAGGTTTAGCGGACCATGTGACGGCTAGGCAAAAAAAGAAGGAGAAAAGGGAAAACAGGGTTCAAATTATCAATAACAAGAAGAAGAAAAAGAGTAAGAAGAAAGTAGCATTGAAAGTAACACACCTGATCGCGAAATTTCACATTACCGAATCGTTTTCGAACCAAGGTATTCACTTTTTCGACATCATACCTCAGCGTTCCATTCTTGAAAAGATCTGTTATCGTATGTGCACACACAATATTTTACTGGCATCAGTATTTATTGATACAGTAGAGTGATAACATCGCCTTATCATAGGCAGTCATCAAAAAACAAATCCAAGTGTGTAGTACGACTTTTCTGATTTACGGTTTGCGTTCAAGTATCTATGGTTTATTTGTATCTGTACTAATAGAAGTAAATGAATTTTGAATTTTAATGAATTTTAGACATCATGCCGAGGTTACAGGAAGGGACAACGTGTAGTTTATCCTGTGAATATTATTATTATTGTACTAGTTACTGATATGCAATAGTACAACAGATATGCAATAGTGCAATAGTACATAGTGCAATTATATTAAATGTGGCGTGGTTATCAGTTATTTCCAGCTATGATTTCAATTTACTATTCTTTGCTTCTCTCAATCTCTGTTTCAATGGATTGTGCCGCGACAGCATTTCAGCACGGTGGCTGGTTGTTGTGTCCATCATTAGGCTGCGTTTATACTTTGCGGCAGCGTAGCGTAGCGCTTCCAGCGTACGCCAGCGGCAGTGCCGGGGAGAGGATGCATATCGATCTAGCGTTCCCAGCGTCACCAGCGTAGCTAGCGTACGCTAGCGTTTCTCCAGCGTTTCACCAGCGTTTTGCTAGCGTTTGCAGCGGCAGGGGAGTAGAGACTATGGGAGAGCTGGAGGGTACAAAACACATCGATTGCGCGTCTCTCACTCGCCCTCAGTCTCTACTATACACATCGATTGCGCGTCTCTGACGGCCACATAGTCTCTACAATACACATTGGTTGCGCGTCTCTGACGGCCACACAGTCTCTACAATCCGGGGAGAGGATGTGAAACGCTACACATCGATTGCGCGTCTCTGACGGCCACATAGTCTCTACAATCCGGGGAGAGGATGTGAAAC